GGCGCGCACGTGCCTTTCGCCAACGCTGTGCGGTTGTCCGGTGCGGCCAGTAATGGAAACCGGTAGGAGTGTGCCGGAGGGATGGCCCAACAAGTCCTGGAGGCCATTGACACACCGCAAATGAAGCTCGAGGTGTGGGAGACGCGCCCTAGACTTTGCCTAGCATTGCCGCTCCCCCACAGAACTTTCTGGGATGACTGTCCACATTCCATCCGCTTTTGAGGAGTGGGATAAAACTGAACGAGGAAAATGGTATTGCTTGTTCCTTTACAGCCACTAGGTTTGGCTTACATATCTCGATTAGTCGCGGGGCGTCCGTCGCACTGAAGCCATCACGCACCTCCACATCCTCATTTCCACACATATCCTGTACTACACGGCATCTCCCAGCAGTATTTGATGCCAATCCAGGAATAATGGTGTCATCTGACTTCCTGGCCGCCATGTACAGACGCGCGACCAGCCACCGAGGCTGGCGCTCTCCCTATGTGAGACTCAGCATAGTTGGCTCCCTTCTGCGGGGGCCCAACCTTGCGGATCCTCTGTGGCAATTTCTTTTACTTGAAAATCTGCATCGTGGCATGAGCAATCATGGGCCTGTGTTTAAACCACGGACTTTCCAATTCGCACAGGCGAAACGACGTCGATTCTGCTGCGTGTGATAGTGGAACCTTTATCGGCCGACAAGCCGACCCCGCCCCGTTAGCGAAAGGGCATGGGTTCGCCATATTTTCGAAAGCGAGGAAGTAAGCGTTGGGTATAGACGTGCGAGCGCACATTCCTGTACATTGCACAGTCTACGCAACTCAAACTCGGAATGCGCTGGAATCCAACGCAATTTCACTGCAAGCCATCCGGCATTGCCGCACGCCTGTTTTCCGCCTCTGACGACTGACTGGTCCCTCCCGCAGGCGCAAGTCGCCGGCGTCCTGGCGGCGTGGGAGAGGGAGGCCGTCTTCCCCCTGCAGCTCATCGGACAGTTCCGCAGGGACTGCGGCCTGGACTGCCGGGGCGCGGCCGACGGCCGCGCTGAGGCCGCCGACTCCGACCAGGTGTCCAGCGTGGCGGCCAACGACGTCGCCGCCGACGCCCACCCCACTTCAGCCGACCGGGCGCACGCTCTTGGGGCGGCGACGCATCATGCCGCTCCCGCGGCGCCCGCTGACATTGCAGTTGCATCGCAGTTGGCCGCGCCCGCGCCTCCCGAACAAGTGCCCCCGGCAACCGGGCGCAATACGTCAATCTCCATAGCCGTCGAAGTACCTCCGATGGGTCCAATGGTCCCGATGGGCGCAGCGGCGCCAGCGGCGTGGGCACTGGGCCAGCCCGAGTGTCCGCTGATGAGCCCGTTTCCGGGCCACGCGCACAATCCGCTGTTGGCGGACAGCCATGCTCAACAACTTCAGATTCCTGACGGCCGCATGTTCAACGCAGTCGGCCCTCCGGGCTGGCACCCGCCGGTGCCCGTTCACCTGCCCGATGCCAATTCCTTCCGAGGTGGCCCGATGCCGGTGCCTTACGGAGGCCCCGCGCAGCCCCACGTCGGCCAGGGCGGTGCCACGGTACCGTGGCCTCAGGCGGGCTGCGGCGACGCCTGGGGCGGGCGCGCGGGAGACGGGTGGGGTGATCCCAGATGGGATGCGGCCGCCTCGGGCTGGGACGGCAGACTCACTGCGGCCTTTGAATTGCGTCCGCCCGCGCGCGGGAGCAGGGTGCCTTTCCGGCATCCACCCGCCGGGGGCCCCGGGCGCGATCTCGCGGTCCCCTGCAAGTCGCCCAGCGGCGGGCTCCGGCGGGCCGCGACGTCCGGCGCCAGGCGCGACGTCCCGCGATGCGCAGAAGGGGCGGCACAGGCGTCCCAGTTCGAAGGCCGCAGCCGCTGCGATCTTCGCGGAAGGACCGGGGTCTGTTCTTCTCAGACCCTCTGCCTGAAGGATCGGTCCGCCGTCGGTTTCGGTCCCCAGGCGCAGGATTTCGTCGCGGCGAGCAGAGAGGTTGAGATGGACGCCGGCAGCGAGGGCTCCGCCTCCGCCTGCTCCCACATGTCGGCCTTCCGCGTCCCGGAGCCCCCACCGGGCCAGGCCGACGTCTTCGAGCTGCCCGAAGGCGTGTTCCTCGAGGAGGGCGCGGGCTGGGCGCCGGAGGTGGCGGGCGGGGCCGCCGGACCAGCACCGCCGGCGCGGCACAGGCTGGCGGCGAGATTCGTGCCCGGTGTCCAGTGGGTGGTGGATGGGGGCGCCGATGCGTGCGGGACCGTTCCGGTTCCGCCCCCCTGCGACGTGCCGGAGGGCGGCGAGCTGCTCATCACCGACCGGGGGTACTGCTGAGGCGGTGTCGGCTGGAGGCTGCGGCACTGATAAGGGCCCGGCGAGGACGGTCGCGACCCCCCGCTGACATTGCTCGGCAGTCCGAAGCCCCAGGTGCGCAGGGTTCTAGAGAGACGGGGCATTGTGCTGTGGATCGAGGACGGAGGCGTGGGATGACAGCGGCTGACGATTTGGGCCCCCGTTAGTGGCTCAGTTGACACGTGCTGGTGAGAGGTCCAATGTGCCGCTTTGCACACAGGGAACGCGTGCCCAGAGTGGGCCGCTGGCGCTGCATTCACCCGCCTAGGGTGGTACCTATTTTGTTTTGTTCGCCCCAAACGAGCTATGAACACCCAGAGAGCATGGCCGTGGATGCGTGTGGAGAATTGAACGGGGTTGTAATGACCAAAGACAGGGGTTGTAGCACAAAAAAAAGAACGGGCTGCGGACACACAGGTGCCATCGAGCTCCGTGCCACCAACGCCTCGAAATTTGTCAGAATACAGTGCCATACCATGCTATTCTTGCAATATACAAAGGCCACGGCAAGAATACCACGGACAATATCGCCGCTGCGATGAATGCATCAGCAGGCGCTTCATCTCTCTGAGCAGCTTGAGTCTTTACACGAATGGGATTTTCCGGTCTTCAAGATGAATGCCCGCACTCGAGACAGTGAGATACACTGCCCAGCGCTGCGGTGAGGCACATTGTGTGGGCAAGGAGGCTCGGCAGCGGAAGGGGGGAATGTGGACTTTTTCGCTTTCATTTTTCTGTCTTGTTGTGGTCTTGCTGTTGAATTTCTTGCACCAAAACATGTGCTCAAATGCGATTTTGATGTCTACCAGACGTGAATATGCTAGAATCTACTAGACATGAGTGGAATCGCACGCCCATTCACAAGGAATGCGAAGGCAGGTGTTCTTTGCTGCTTAAACTAACCGACAGTATTCTGGGGTTCTTCTTCAGTGAAAGGGAATGAAATAAACATTATTGAAAGCATTTGTGGCGTCTACCAGCCCTCAACGCCCTCTGTCAGGCGCAACGTCATAGCGTTGTACTATGCACTGCCTTAAATCAACATGTTCTGCCAGTGGCCGCAGCGCTGCGGCCAAATGTATCTACTGAGTGTCTATGTACTTATGTGCATTGTGCAAGCAATATGTGTGGCAATCAATAACGCAATTTCCAGAACATTGCGATCTTTCTTGACGTCCCTTAGAGAAGCGGAGAACACATATGGTTCATTCTGTTTCAAGACCCACAACCTCCCCTTCTCGTGGCCACCTTATCTTCTTCTTCCAAAGAATCGTGCCCAAGCGATGATCGGCAGCGCCTCTAGGCCAGACTGGATGCGTCACAGCGGATACCGGCATCACAAGAGCACTGATGTGCCTGCAAGCGGGGCCCATTGCTTTTGGGGGTTAATGTGGCTCCATTAGAAATGTCGCCGCGTCAGCTTGGTGCACTTGACGCCAATTTGCTGCCAAGCTCACCCCCGCCTCACGACAATCCTGATGTCCATGCCGGCACGGCTCAGCAACATTATCTAATAACGCGATACAACACTTCAGCACAGAGCAGGAATTGTGGCTCCCCCTCGTTGTCCAAAGGAAGACCACAGTCCAAGGGAAGACCACGACCGATGACCACAGTCGGAGCCATGTGCAGTGACTGTGGACCTACTTGAGCGACCGCGCAGCAACTCTTCGTCACATTCTCGACGGCTGTGACAGGTTCCTTTGCTCGCACCACAAATGATTGCAACAGGCGATTGTCGCATTCGAATGGAACCAATCATTTTCGGCTCCTCCATATGGTCTTCGTTCGACCCGGGCGGGAACAATACCGGCTTCTTGACGGTCCTGAACACCGATGATAGCTATCAGATGCAAGTCTTGTTTTCTCTGGCGATTGGCCAATGGATTAATCAATTTGTAATGGCAAGCTGTGGGGACTGCCCTTGACTCCACTAACTGGTACATCTTTGGGGCCTGCTTAACTCAAGGCTCAAGGAGACTTCAAACACACCAGTGGCGATTTTCATCTCTCCTCGGCTCTCGTCTATTTGTGGCAAGTCAGCTGCTGCAAATCATCCCCTCGCACTTTCCAGCGTCGCGGGTCTGCTCCCTCGCCCCCGGGGTCGACTGACGTCCAGCGCGCCAACATCAACGCCGCGCCATCCCTCGGATGAGTCCGAGGACGTGAAGATGCACAGCACTGGGCCCAAGGGCCCCACGCCGAATCGTCCCAGCGACACCAGCATCCGTCGGATTTCGACAACGGAAGCAGCGAAAGGCGACGGGAAGGAGCGCGTTCGGCGCATGTGGCCCATGATGTGAAAGATGGCCTCGCGAGGGCTGGAAGACGGCGGGGACCCAAAGAGGATGACTCCAGCGTGAGCCCGCCACCTCTGGCGCGTCAGAGGGCGTGCGCCTGGGCCGCCCGACCTCCCCGGGGGCCTCGCGCCGCTAGCCTCTCGCCTGCGACGCCGGAGGCCGCCCCCCTTGGCCCCTCCCTCCCCCACCCCCTCTCTCCCCCTCGCTTGCCTGCCTCCGCAACCCATCCTCCTGGACCAGTCGGGCGTTCCAGCGGCCAGGAGCGGGCCTGGACGGCGGGGCGCGAGGAAGCGGCGCCCGGCGGGGGCCCGGCGGGGGCACCGGGGCCGGCGCCGGGAAGCACGTCCCGGCGGCCATGGTGGACATGTACGCCACCACTGGACAGCATGATGAGGCCTCCTTCGGCAACCTGCCCAACCTGCCGTCCAGCCAGTCCGTTTGGTGCGTGCGGTGGGGTGGGGTGTTTTTTCCACCGCCCAGTACGCAAATGTCTGCCCGCGCGTTGCGGCTGTGAGCGCGGGGCGCCGCGGCTGACGGGAGGCGCTGAGGGTGGGCTGATGGCGCTGCAGGGGCGTGGACTATGACAGGGACTTCTCCAAGCTCCTGGACTCCAGCATCCTGCAGCAGCTGGAGGACCTGCCGCGGGCCACCTCCGCCCCGCCGCACCTGCAGGATCGCCTCCAGACGGTGAGGCCGCCGCCCGGGGCGCGCCCAGCGGCGATCGCTCGCCCTCGCGGGGCCGCTCGACGAGCCTGTTAGCATGCCGGGCGCTCCCCGCGCCTTGTGGCCCGTGGACCTCGTTTAGATCCCGGCTGGGCGCGTCGACGCTGCGGGCGTCCGTGGATCCGGCGGAGGCTGATGCGGTTCGACCCTGTGCGCAGGCGTCCGTGGATCCCGCCGGCAACAGGGCCGCCAGACTGACGCCCGCAGAGGCCTTTACCGACATCCGCTACGACGAGGACTACGCGGCGTTCTACCAGCTGCACGCCGGCGAGCGCAAGCTGCCTCCGCCCGTGGACGGCAGCACGCTGTACACCGACCTGCAGAGCTACGTGCAGGCGCAGCAGCTGGCCAACAAGGACGTGTCGTCCCTCCTGCAGGTCACGGCGGGCTCGCGCCTGTCGGCCCTGGCGGGGACGTCCGCGCTGGCCGGTCAGCCGGGACTGCTCACCGGGGGCATCGGAGTCGGAGGTGGGCGGCGGCGCGTGGGGGAGCCCGCTGCTTCCTACAGGAGACGCTGTGTCCCCGTCTGCGGGGCCCAGTGGTGTGAAACTCGGGCCATGTTGCTGCGGACGTGCGGACGCGTGCTGGGCTGGATGCTGATGCCTGTCTGATGTGGCCGGCGCAGGTCTGGAGACGGTGCAGGAGCAGAGGCCCAGTTCAGGGGCGGCCGTGCCCAACGATGTCATTCAGGCGCTCAGCCAGCTGAGTGAGTTGCTGGTTGCTGCTGCAGTCCCACTTGGTGGCCTTCAGGCGTCGTCGGCTGCCCACTGACAGTGCTGTTTGTCTGTGACGTTGCAGCTTTGGCAGCAGGCTCTCCAGCACCCCAGATCCAGCGCCCATTGTCTGCGCAGGCCCTCCCTGGTGCATTGGCAGCACCAGCGCCACACGGCACCCCGGGTCCCTTTGATGGTGGGGACACACCCCAAATCTGTACTTTCCAGCTTGTGTGATCTCCCTTGTGTGTTTTTCCTGCCCGTTTTCCACACTCCAGGTGCTTGCAACGATGAGCCCTGTTTCCATGCACTTCCACAAGTCATGCGATTAGTCTGCAGCACATGTTTGCAATTGCGAGTTGGTGATTACACTGCAAAACAGCGCGCACAGGAGCTGCCGGGAGGTGACATGCCATGTCTGTTTTCTGGTGCAGCTTCCGCTCTTGGCGCTGCAACGGTGCGCAGCGCATCCGCCTTTGCAGCTGTGAGCCTGGCCCCAACGCCTCCCCCTTTCACCACCCCTAGCCCGCCTCCGGCTATGAACCCTGGAGTGTCAACTTCCATGGGCCCGGGTCTTGTGGGTGCAAGTGGTAACTTCAGGCAGGTTGGAGGGGCCATCCCAGCTGGTGGGGCCATTCCAACAGGGGCACTTCCCACGGGAGGGTTACCTGGGGGTGGCAATCCTCTCACAAGCTCCCTTGAGTATCAGGCAGCGTATCAGGCTGCATACCAGGCTGCGCTGATGCAGTCGCAGTCGAACTCGCTTCTTCTTGCACAGCAGCAACAGCAGGTGCAGCAGCAACAACAGCAGCAGCAAGTTCAACAGCAGCAGCAGCAACAGAGCAGACAACAGGTGATCGTCCCCTTTTGCTCTCATGTGCATTTTGGTGCCAGGGGAATGTTTGTCTGTGTCGCTAAAAGGACTGCATGTTTGCCCTGGCTTGCACAGATCCCAGGCCTTGCTGGAGGCTTGCCACTGGGAGGGCGCTTTGCAGGCCAGCCCGCCGGTGAGTGCCTGCATTCTGCCCAATATTTACCCTTGGTAACAGAGTTGTCTCCTTGGCTGTTAAAAGAATTTGACGAGCTTCTAAACCTTAACATGCATTTGTGCATATTAGCATAACAAAACATTATTCACGTCAATGGTATCCCATCAGTTGGGAAAACAGCCTATGCTCCTGTTACGGGGTTATGTAAGGTGGCATAGCAGGAGAAGAACCCAATCGGAGAGCATAACGTATCAGCAAGGATTGGTGACCTTCGAGAGCATCCAAGACACCACAAACTGCTGGACCTGGGCACATGTGAACATGGCAGCTGAGAATTATATCTTGGAAGGAAGGGAGATTGGGAGAGGTGCAGAAATTACACCCTGACCCAGAATCCCTGGGCCACTGCACAAAGAGAAGGCAATAGAAGGGTGTTGTAAGACAGAAGCAGGGTGGCCAGTCCAAGGTCTTGACTGTGCTGTGTTGGACAGACCCAAGTGTTGGTGTGGGGAATGGCATGCTAATGATGAATCCTGCACAAATGTCTGGGCTGCCTGGGTACTACAATGGCGGCCCAGCAGCAGTGTCCGCTGCAGCCGCTGCCGCAGCCGCCGCAGCTGCTGCAGCTGCAGCCAATGGTGAGTCACTAGCCCACCTTTGCACAGCACAAGTAATTGTGCTGGCTTTGTGGCAACTCAACATACCCTCTGAAGAATCCACACACAGCAGGCCCAATAACCCACCAGGAGCGGGTTGCTGTAGTTATCTCAAGCAGAAACAGCCAGCCTGGCAACACCCAGTCAACTGTTCGTACATTAGCTTTGTTGCAATTCTTTATCGAGCAGTCAACGATGTGTGGCATCTATCATTGAAGCGGCCAGTAGAGTTGCACTTCAGTTTATTGTGGTGTCAATTTCCAAAGGTCTATCATATTTAAAAGTTGTGCAGGGAATGCTCTGCCTTTGTTTGAAGTGATACAGTTGGTTATGGTTGCAATGACAGGCCACAAGACAGAGTGTTTTGCTTTAGTGTTGTTGACAGAGAGAAGCAGCGAATTCTTTGAGAATGTAGCAATGATGTTATCTTTCACACTGGAATAGCTTCTGCACTTGTCAGCACCTTGGAGCCATAATGAGTCAGTTTGAGTATATGCCCACCTTCCCGATGGTATATTGTTGCTTTCTGTGTGCCATCTTTCAAAAGTCATCCTCTCAAGGTGGTTGTATGTCCTGCCTGTGATTGTTGTTTAGGTCATTATACCCCAGTCCCAAACCCCAGCTATGCTGCTGTCTGTGCCTAGAGTATTGGAGCCGGGTATCTTCAGGCTCACAAGTGAGTGCTGCGTTCCATTGTTGGTGTGCGCACCCTGTACCTGAGGGACCCCACATGGTGGTGTCTTTGCAGCAAATAGATTTGAGAATACTGAGGGCAACTTCGAAAAGGACGACAGGAGGGGTAGGCAGTTTGGAAGGAGGGGGAAGGACCACCACTATGACAGGCCCAGGGATAGGGACCATCACTTTGATTGCTATGACAGCAGCCAGTACACCTACCGCTTCCAGAACCTGGAGGAGGTGGTTGGTCAGGTTATGCAGGTCGCGCAAGATCAGAATGGGTGCCGCTTTCTGCAGAGAAAGTTCGACGAAGGGGGTGCGTCTGCTGTGGCTGTCGTGTTCACAGAAATACAGGAGAATATTGTTGAGCTGATGATGGATCCGTTTGGCAACTACTTGGTTCAGAAACTGTTGGATCGCTGCTCCGATGAGCAGCGCTTGAAGGTGCGTGGCTGTTGCCGCATTGACAGCCTCATCTGCGCTGGCAGTCGTGCCACTGACCGACTGTGAGTATGTTGTGCTGGCTGGTTTTGTGAGAGAATCGCGAGGCTCCCAAGACAGCATTCTTCTTGTTGGCAGCAGTGAAGTTCATAGCCTGCATTGTGCATGGGCAGGACATCTTCATATTGTGGGAATGATTTACTCGAAGGAAAAACCCCACCGTTTGCATGGTGCTCGAAGTACAGCCCTCACATGCATTTCAGCATCGGGTTGGTTTTTGATTAAATGGAATGTCAACCAAGAACATGACCTGTAGCTGGCACATTGGCATCCCATATTTTGTGTCAGAATGCAGCTGCCCATGCACTGCCAAGAGCAAGCCCCATGCTTTTGGGATCCTCAATCCTCTATCAGAACTCCCTGAGCAGTGCCAGATGCACACAGTGGCCGATGGCGGTAAAGGGTTCGCACGTCAATTGTAAAATTGTCTGCATGTCGACTCTGCAGTCTGTTCTCAGGCATGGTGCTCCCCAAGTGTCAGAAATGGGCTTCACAGGCTGCTGATATTGCTTTACTTCTGCTCTCCTCAATGCATCATGCAGCTGTGGGTGTATTGGATTACTGCAACTCAGAAGATGTTCCTGTGCCATTATGGGATGTGCAACCACAGAACATCGCAATCTTTTCCATGTGGATCTTCGTCTCTTCGAAATCTCCTCAGTGCCTGTTTGGGCCTGCAATTTGGCCAGCAGTCTGTGCCTGCTGATGGTTGTGGATCTGGTCTGTTTTGTGCCACTCTGACAAGTGAGCGTGACTGTGAAACAGATTGTGCAAGCAGTTGCAGAACGAGGGGAGCTGGTTGATGTTGCACTAAGTACCCATGGAACTCGAGCAGTCCAGAAGCTGATCGAGACGCTGTCGTCGAAGGAGCAGAAGCAGCTGATCATCGAAGCTTTGAAACCGGGAGTTGTGGCACTCATAAAGGACCTCAATGGCAACCATGTGGTCCAGAGGTGCCTGCAACGGCTTGGGCCAGAAGACTGCCAGTTCATTTACGACGCAGCTGGTGGATATTGTGTTGAAGTCGCCTCCCATCGCCATGGATGCTGTGTGTTGCAGCGGTGCATCGACTTTGCCACGAATTCCCAGCGTCAACGCCTTGTGGAGGAGATCGCCAGGAATGCACTCGTGCTGAGCCAGGTGCGCATGAGGGGGCTTGGGGATTGGGGCTTGCCCCTGTTTCTGCACTGTCGTTTTTGAATGGCAATCTTTTGTGCTGCCATGTTGGCATGTTTTTTGTTCTTTTGCTTCCAAAATGTTGCATCACACTTCAGAGTCCAGGCGCCCCTGGTCCTAACACAAAATGTGCAAGCCTTGTGCCACCTGGCAAGAGAATGAGGGGCGATGTAGAGGCCCCAAACGCGTTCCGTCTAAGTGATTGCTTCGTGTCAAAGAACTGAAGTTCGGCTTGGGGAGGGGGGGCGCCGATCAGTGATTGAAGCGTATCGAATCTGTCTGTTTGGCTTTGTAATGAGCCAATACTGTGTTGTTGATTAGGTTACGTCAGCAGGCAAGTGGTCAACCTGTGCAACAGGGACGAAGTTGCCCTGACAGCTCTTGTCCACAGAGTGGGGACGACCAGTAGATTGGGCCTATGGTAGCGATAGCTGACCTGTGTGCTACTCGATTCCGTTAACAGATGATGCAAAAGATCAGTGTCTTTGCACTCATTGTACGATTTCGAGCAAGCCATACTGCGGCAAACATCTATCGATGACAAGACTTTGCCAACTGTGCCAGCTGTGACGAATCGGCATCTTGTAGACATCTTCTAACCTTGCTGTTGCTGGCTTTTCAGGATGCTTTTGGCAACTACGTAGTGCAGTACGTTCTGGAGCTCAATCGCCTGGAGGCAAGCCAGGCGATCATGATGATGCTGCAGGGTCACTATGCTGAGCTGGCTATGCAAAAGTTCAGTTCCAATGTCGTGGAGAAGTGCCTGAAGCTCAGCGGCCTGGATGACGCCAGGGAGCGCATAGTGCGGGAGGTGATGCTGTCCCCCACCCTGCCAAGGCTGCTGCAGGACCCGTATGGCAACTATGTCATCCAGAGCGCCCTGACCGTCACAAGTGGACAGCTGCACCAGGCCCTTGTGGACTGCATCCGACCGTACCTGCCTTCCCTCCGCGGGACTCCCCATGGCAAGAGAATCCTCCAGAAGGTGATTGCAAAGTCTACTGGGGTTGTGGTTTGAAGCGATTCAGGGTGGAACAGAGGGTGGCTCTGTGTTTCTGTGTTCGAGCCACCGGTGAAACAGCTGTTGATATATGTGTGTGGCGTCCTGCTTGCCCTGTATTTTGTAAAGGGAGGGGATTAGGAGTGTGCACCTGGGTATTGATGGCGTCTGTAGTGTGCCCGCTGATATGCCACCTGTATGTCGCTGCTGCTGGTGTGTGGGAAGTGGGCAGCCTGGGCAAGCATCAGTAGTCGCTGGGGATGGTGAAGTGTTTGGGGATGTTGTGTGTACCTATTGTGCACAGTTGAAGAAACACTCAAATGTGCTGTGCTCGGTGATGCAGGTGCTAACATCATTAAAGGACCCTTTTCGCGCAGAGTTTTAGCCAAGCCTGGGGGGGCAATCTATACCACCCCTCTGCCTTTCTCCCCAGCCTTTTGGGGCTTTTGTCATGATCGGGGCTGGAATGGCTTTGCTGTGACCTCGTGCTTTTAGAAACAAGGATGGCTACTGATTGGGAATGGGTAGCAGGGCTAGTGCATACACACGAGGTTTGTCCACACGGTCCACAAGGTGGCTGGGGGCATATGAACGGGCCAGATAGAGAATGGTTCAGTATGACTGTCAGATCGGAGGGCTTTGTAACAAACTGGTGTGGAATGTCTGCGGTGAGGAACACATTCCTGCATGCCCTTGCTGAGTTGTGGATGAGGCTGGGCAGCGGGGCTCCATCCATTTTTTTTGCGGATGCTGTCTCTCAGTGTGGAAGCGAGTGGATGGGTGGCAATGTTGGAATGTTGTGTAAAGGTTGGCTTGTGCGTGTGTGTGCCTTTATTGGGAACCCCTTAGACGGTAGGTATCAGCTGTGTGATAGAAATTAGTTCGAAGTATATTCAGGCACTCTGTTATGGGCTAGCATTGGGTGTTGAATGGGCTGGGCCAACGGGTGCTGGCCTTGCAATGTTGATGTGGGTTCCAGACTCCAACAAATTGCGCTCACTGTTTGAGTTTCAGCAGTGAGAATGCAACACCGGCATGGCAAGGCGGCTTCCGATACAGGGGCCGCCCAACATAGCTTTTTGCAGGTTGTTGCTAGCCACGGGTTGAGTACAGCAGGACTTGAGCGACAAAGGTAGACTGTGGGGTGCGAGAATCAGTGGGTGCTGTGGCGAAATTGGAGATGGATGTAGTCGTATGCAGAAGTTTGTACTCTGTGTGTGTCGGGGCGCGAAGGGGCCTTTGCTTGGCACGATGCAGAGATGACGGGGAGCCTCTTTGCGGTTTTGCAGGGATTTTTTCGTCACAGGTGTGCGCGGGTCGGTTGATTTTGTGGAAGTTAGGAGCCCTATGTTGTACCAGTGTCGCTGATCAGGGAGCTGCTGCATGCCCATGCTGTTTGTGTGAGTTCTCGAGCTTATACAGGATAAGGTGCGCAAAGGATTGTGCGAAACAAGGCAACGACGCATGTTAAATGGGAAGCCTAATAATGGGTGGTGACGTGAGCCAGAGTCCTCAAAGACAGTTGTAACTGAGACTCCTCAAAGCTAACAGATGTGTTGCCACCTGCAGATTGGTTGGGGCCGAATTCGCGCCTCGAGGTTCACAGCACGGGCACGCACAATGGTCCTGCTTCATGTACCACATGGACATTCACAAATGCAATGAGCTGCAGTGCTGTTCCATTTTGTGGTCACATTCTGCTGTACAGGTTGCCCTTAGACCAGGCGTTCCACCTGTTGCTGCATCAAACCCATTGCTGTTCACCCGTTGTCGAATCGTCCAACCCGACGCTGGGCTACAACGGCATTTGTTGATACTTTGTGCAGTAGTTTGCCTTCGTAGTCTGTCAACAATGATAAAACACCGGTTTCAGTACTGCTGACCCGTTTTCGACTCGTATCTTGGGGCCCGTTGGACTTTGTCGGATCGAACAAGCTTCCAAAAAGTAGCAACTTGCACGGGCATTCCAAGCGCTGTACCCGCACCCGCAAGATTGCAGCAGTGTTGGTGGGCACAGAAGGACTGGCAGCCCAACGGCCTCGAGCTGAACTGACTGCTCACAGCGATTCCAAAGACACACGTTGCGAATTTTTGCAGGCACTTGCCTCCCGCAGAGATGAAACTCCAACTTCATGCAAACAGCCAAAACAGTGCGGTCTGCAGGACTCAAGGCGAGTCCGTTCCCACGAAGGAGTCCTGCCAATTAGGTTCTTCTCGCCTCTGCCACAGAGACTCCGCAGCAGAGTGATTAACCGAACGGTGAGTTGTTCCAAACGGTTCCTTGGGGCCGGAATGTTGGCCCTGACGTCATCGAAGGGGGGCAGCGCTCGACATCCACGATCCTTGCATGTCGCATTGGTCCAGAGTAGTCCACTTTCCCACCAGCCAGGTATACTACACACAAACGCAAATTTCGCACGCCGAACAATCAGCGCCCATGTCGACTCGCAGAGTGGAGGTGGCATAAATTACACCCATCGTTCCACAATACAGATATTGATACGCAGACAGTAGATCCACCGTGTCAACGCGAGCAATCTCTACTTGTTCAAGCCCACTTTCGCTCATTAACAACAAATCGTCAGGGCAGAAAACAATCGCGTGCCTTCAGCGCCACTGCCCCGCTTCGCTGGTTAACAGCCTTTCGTGCAAAATGTCGGTAAGGTCCGAAAGGCTGCACTCATGCACAACATCGCGATTATGTGTTTTTTTGGGCAAAACGGTTGTGCTCAAGATTGGCCGTCAGAAAACAAGGAAATTTGTATGCAACATTGCCATTTCTGAGTGCACAAAAAGAGAAGAGGATGCATGTTCTGTTGTTTTCCATGACCCCCTTACCGACATTTTGCACGAAAGTTAGTTGGTTGTACTGATTGCCATTCTCTCGATCGACTTGCACGAGCATCACTAAATTGACAGAGCAAGGCAAGGATGCAGCACAAACAATCACATTTGAACGATGTCACATGTCACCAACGTTACATGTGATCGTTCGCTAGCACTCGGAAAATCACGTGCGAGACTCTCAGACTGCTCGATTTGAGTTGTCCATACTTCGATCTCCACGCTGAAGCCTCTGCATTTGAATATTCCGTCCTCGCCGAGCATGAGGCACTTTCCAGCTGCCATTCGATGTGTCACGTCCTTTGACCCTTCACCACCCAGGTCGATTTTTCCCTCATCGGCGACTGCGCGCTCCCCACAGCGCTGGCAATTGCCGCACATTTTTGGCGGCTCATGTGTCCTTAAGAGAATCCATCTCGTGCCGTCCCTTTGTGTTGCTGTGGGACAGACACCATGTCGATTTTGGCACCCATGGCGTCAATTTGTTGCTATGATCAGACCCCCTTTTCCCCGTGGTGCTTGTGTTGTGTGCTCCTTTTGTTGCACTGGATATTATACATCTTCTTCCCACAGGATGGACTCTGACTCGCAATTGCTTAGGAGCGGCTGCCCTTGTGTGACCAATGTCTCTTCCTCTTTGTATCAAATGCTACCCCTTTCCCCTTTTCTTAGCGTGAACCTTGGGGGAATGAAGATATGAATGCCGATGCAAGGACGACTCTGCAGCATTACCAACTACAGCGGGGTTACCTATATCTATATTGCTATAGCGCTCCCTCAATTTCGCCCTTCCCCCAATAACGCCCCGTTTGGGGGCTTGGTACCATTCCTGCAGTACATTATGTAACTCTGATGTACAAAGGGACCTCAAGCCAGTATATCGGACACCCAAGCGCACGCAAGAAAGGTCATCAGCTGACCTGCCACGTTCGTTGGTCGCGACAGAGTTAGGGAACATATCCAAGCGTTGTACGAGGTGTTTGTTGTTGTCGTCAGATCAACAACGTTGCCACACAATCGCTCCTGCCAACGGCAGGCTGTCGTGAACTGTGCAATGACATATCATGTTTGCAGCGCTGCGAAATTCATCACATGCTTTGGGTCTCGAGACACTCTGTCAAATGGCCCCTTGTGCCGAAAATTGGAACCCAACAGCTACATAATTAGAGATACAAACGATGCCTTGGTTGCCCAACAAATGGCCACCTGGTCAGATATTATCCCAGAAACTCAGCAAGAACAATGCCAGGCAGCCGATATGCCATTGCATGGGGCCGGATTATATGATGTGGCACTGGCCGGAAGAATGCATTAAGCATTCATTATGCGGGCAATGCAGCGCAAATCAATGCGGCAGTCGACGTGGCGGATTGTGAACATCCCTTCAGGAAATAGCTGTACAAGCAAGTATTGCAAAGTACTGAGCGCCATGCCACTTTCTCCTGAAATAGCCTTTGCTGCAAACACCGCGTTGGGGGGGTGAATTGAAGTGGTAAGTTCATTTCCTTGTACTTTTGCAATTTATTTGCAAAGGCACAAAAAATGGAATGTGTCACTCCATTGCTCATCAAGCTTCCAACACAGTGCTCCAATTAATACATAACATTGTAATATATATGGTAGTAATATTATCGCATTTGCCCGGTATTAGTAGGCACCCCCTTTTAGTATCCACCCCCAAACCTCAACAGAAACGAGTACAAGAGGGCTCGTTGGACTCGCCTTGGGGAGAAGAAACTATTTTTCACGTCTTTGCTTGCGCAGCACTCTTGCTGCATGCCTTCGACGTGCAACAGTTGCTGCAAACAGCTCATCCTATAGTGCGATGCACTGGATGGCTGCAAACTTCACAGCTTAAGCAGCTGATGATTTGGGAGAGGATTCGGAGGGTGTCGATGAGTATTTCGATGGCTTTGTATCAGATCTGGATGTGGACAGCGATTGATTGTGAACGCGTTTCTGCGTTTTTGGTTGGGATTTCGTAATTTTGACTTGGTGATGTGGCTGTTGCTGTATCGCATCTTGCATTTTTTAAAGCCTATTTTTGGGCATTTCACCGCCTATTTTGCAAAAAAAATCTTTGTATACTCCTTGGATTAGCGGGTCTAAACCATATTAGTATCCATGACCCACTATTAATATCCACCGCTCAATTTGGGGGGTCAATACACGCCTACTAATACCGGGTAAATACGGTATATATTATTGGGTATTATTGAACAGGGTGCGCCAGGACGGTGGGTCTATCAAGCCTTCAACCATCCCTTATCTCGGCCAGAAAGTCTTCTACTGCGTATAAAGTGATGGGAAGCCTCAGTGGATGGATTAGATTGTAAGTAAATGCATTATATTGAGGTAATTTTTTAGCGCCCAGCCCCAGTACCGCTCTGTTTTTGGCCATGTCACGGGGCCGGAGGATTTGGCGCTATATAGCCACCCCTGCTGTGGACCTATTCGACATCAACAGGTACTCAAGATAGGCAAACAGACAGGTTGTGGGCATTATAGAGGGCTGAATAAATGGGATGCGGGAAGCCATGA